CGGGGCGGGCGCGGCGCTTCCGGAGCTGCGCGCTCCCCGCCTACAGGTGCGGCGGCCGCGGCGCGCGGGCCCGAGTGACAGCGCCGCCCGCGTGGCCGCTGGCCTGGCTGCAGACGCGGTGCCGGCAGCGGGCGGGGACCGGGGAGGCGGAGGAGGCGGAGGAGGCGGAGGCCCCGAGACTGCACCGACGGGCGAGGACTGAGCACACCCGGCGGGGAGAGACGCCCAGGCTCCCCGCTCAGCTGCCTCCCGAGCTTGGCGGCCCTCGCGCAAGGCGAGTACCGGGGACCGCGGGTGGGCTGCGCTGCGCTGCGTGGACCCGGCGGGCATGGGAGGAATGTCTTTTCGGTACTTTTTTTTCGGGTCCATTTCCAGAGCGCAAAGGGCTGGTCTCTGGTTTCAGCCCCTTGGATTTCGCTCCCGCGTGTGGGCGTCTAAAAGGAAACCTGAAGCGGGTGAGTGATCCACAAAACCCACTTGCTAATGGGATTTGGCCCGGGAGGGTGGCAACCCGGATAGACAGCTAGACGCCCCCTCTAGTCCCCGCTCCCCAAAACGAATATAAATAAAAAAAGGAGCCGCCCTTGAGCGAGTTTCAGGCACCAAGTTATTTGCGCGGTGGAGATAATGAGTTTGCACTGATCTTGGTGCTCCCCCGCATCCTGCTTGTTGTACACGTTGGGACGACAGGCCTGTACATTGACTTTAATTACAGTCATTTGGCCTCCACCTGCCTGAGCCCAGCACAGGACTCGGGGTCCTGTCGGCAGTGAGTTGACCAAGATCCATCTTCCTTCTTTGCTTCAGGAGACAGGTCTCTTGAGGGTATGAATGTCCATCTCATTTAGTAAAGTAAGTTCTTCCTGGCTTGTTTTCTTAAACACCTCCCTAACCTTCTTGCGTCGATCTGGAGTTGTTTTGGTTTGGGGGAAGACTTCGTGAAATTATATTGTGAACTACATAACCTTTGATCATTAGAGGACAATAGAAGCTAGTTTATGTGGAATAATGACTTTTTTAGCCTGTTGCAAGTTTGTATGGTGATAGCAACGTTTTGTTTTTTTTTTTGTTTTTTTTTTGCAAGGTTGTCCTTGAAGGAAGTAGGCTGCTCAGTGGAATATAGCCTTTCGGTTAAATACAAAAGTGTTTGTATTGAAAAAGAAGCTATTTTTAAAAGTACTTTTAATCGGATGTCATTGTGATGACCAATAATAGTATTGTACTTACAAGCTCAGTATTGATTTCCCCCGCACTTAAGCACTCTACACCCTAGAGAGTTTGTGGAACGTTGCCCATAAGTAATTGGAAGATGCAGTTATGACATTTTTTTAAAAAAGGAGCTAACTTTTTTAAGGAAAAAGAGAAATACCTCTGAACTCTTAGTTATGGTTTTCATGTACTTACAAGAGAACTATTGAGGGAAAATTCTCATGACAGTCCAGTGTTTAACAATGTTTAAAAAAGAACGAAAAAAGTAAAATGGGTCATAGAACTATGCTAGAGCCTGAAGTGGAAATATCTCCCTGGCTCCTTTTAAAACATGTATTTAACACAGACACATTTAAGGTGACTCTTAACACCAAGAGTGTTTTATATACACTTGATTGGTCAGTACTAAGATTTATTTAAATTAAAATACCTAGAAGGTAAGTCATGTGAGTTATTAAAACTTATTAACGTGGGTATGTTTGTATTTTTGCCTTCTTTTGTAGTCCTGTCAAATTTTATGTGGGTTGTCTATGAAAGGAAAAGCTGATGGTTCATTTAAAAACAAATTCTTAATCATCTAAAATCACTACAACTTCTAGCAGTGTGAGATGCATAGATACTCAATTCATACTTTTCAATATAACTACTCTTACAGTGGTAAAATATAAGACTCAGATTATAATCAGTTGCAGTTTTCTTGTAAATTCTTATGTTAACACTGTGAAACTATGAAGTTTTAAAAGCCTACTTAGGACTCTGGGTTATAGACCTCATGATATCCAAGAAGGTATTTCTTCTTGTTACTTTACTTTCTACCCCACCTCCCTGCAACTTTGAGAAAGTTTGTGAAAGATGCTGTAAAATGCTAAGTATAAATGATGGTCATTGCTTTAATAGCCCTATTTTAACAAGTGTTTGTTTTGACTCATTGTATCCAATCTTTGTACATACTCCAAACTGAGGGATTTTTAAAATTATCTGTAAAGTATTAATTAGGTAGAGAACTTCATATTAATGTTGGAAATATTTCTTAGCTTTTACCCAGAAGTGATTGGTAGGATTAGAGGTTATGAGATCTTAATCTTTCTGTAGCTTATCATTTTAGGTTTCTTTTAAGCATTGGGCAGAATAAATATATAATAATAGTTAAACCGTTTTGCCTGCTTTTTCTTTAACTGAACTAGTAGTCAGTGGTACTCTCTTCACATGATCTTTTCTAGTTAGAAATTTGATCTGTGAAATTTTGTTATAGTTTTGATTCAGCACAAACTTCCTTCCTTACCAATGCCATGGAGGATACAAAACAGTCCTGTTCTGGGTTGAAGTAGTATTTTGAGCAGCTTCAGGGGTAAAAACTATTAGTGAAAAGATGGGGAGCATCTTTTTTCTATCTTATAACATTTGTGTACAAAGGTGCATGGGTAGGTGAGGGAATACTTAGGGAAGGACTGATAAGAGTGATTCTGCCCTAATAGTTATCACAAAAATGGGATGCAAAAAGGACTCAGTTACATTACAGAGCTGTAGGAAGAGTAGAGAATGGTTTAATCCATTTGGAGTTGGAGAGATGATCAGGGAAGAGCAGAAGAGAAGTGTGGTCTCCTTACTGATTATCAGGTGACTTGAGCTTGTAGGGGGTGGGGGTGGTGATGGCGAAAGTGGTTGCCAAAACTCTTTCACAGTATCTTGATGAAGTTCAGAATCCTTAGCCTCCTGTTCAAGGCCCTCTATATCCAATGCCAGCTTCCTTTTCTGGCATCACCTTTCATTGAACCCTCAGTCCCTCCTAGCTACTTTCACCTCCTTACTATTGTCTGACGACCTCTTCTCCCTCTTTGTCCTCTTTATGGCTTTCCTGCTACTTCAGATGCTGCTGTCTCTCCATCTGCTACATTTCTTCCTGTACATCTTGAGACACCCCTTCATAGCTCCTTCACTGAGCAGTCCATCCTCAAGGCTTGACTTGCTGCGTGTTTCACTTATATTCGTGGAGTTGTTTTGAGATTTTGAGAGTTGCTTGGCACTCATGAAAGGTGACGATGGTGCTGCCTCTTTGTGTACTTAAAAATGAAAGAGTACTTAAAATGTAAACCACATGAAAGTCAAGGTCGCAAAATTTGATTTTCCCTTTTATTAAGTGCTTTTTTTGGGGTACATCTCAGTCTTCCAATTTTGGTATTCCTTCTTTACTGGCATTTCCTGCATTGTAAAGCACTGACTCTTCACATGCATGCAATTTTCTTTTGTGTCTAGTCATGTCTAATCTGCCCCTTCAGATTTTAAACTCTTTGAGAGAAGACATTTCATCTTCACTTTCTTTGTAGCACTTAACACTGCTTTCAAATGAGATAATAGGTGCTGTTATCTTAAACTGCAAATATTTCCTGCTATTATCTTGGAGAGAGTAAATTGTGTCCCTTAAATATTTATTGAATGAAGAAATGTAAATGAGCCAATAAGTTGGGAGACATTTGCTGAGATATCCCCCTTTTCTCAAGAAAAAGAGACTGACAGTTACAGAGCCACTAGGAATCCGCCCTCAAATTCAGTTGGAAAAGAGGTCAGGGTGCTATTTATAAATGCAAAGAGAGGAAATGGTTCGCAGTAGTCTATTTTGAAACATCTGGTTGTTAGTCTAAAAATTCAGCTCTAATTCAGAGAAAATGGTTGGGTACACACTTGTACTAAATTTAAAAAAATTAAATATAAGGTATATATAAGAAAATGCACATATCATAAGCATACATTTTTAAATATTTTTATTGAAGTATAATATCATGCTAGTTTTGATCTGAGTCAATTAGATATCAAAGCTACGTTCAATGCAGCATGAAATGGAACAGAATCCTGAAAAATATGTGCCTGCATTCATATCAACAGTTCTTAGGGGCCTGATTCTTCTTCCTTCAATTAGATGTGGCTGGGCTGGGGAGGGGGGGGCGTGGGGGCTGGCACTGGGTGGTCGGAGCTGTCCAGGTGTCCATGCAGGTGGGAGGGAGGCCTCCACAGCGATGCAAACTTCCACTTATTATTCCTTTTCATTACCCACACTTTGGCTCTTGTAGGGACTTGGGAAAATGAAACCTTTCATTGGTTGCCCAATAATTATGGCTCTACTTTAAAGATCTCTGAATTAGAATAAAAAAGCAGCCTTAAATATTAAGCAATTAACTTAAAATCTAGGTGGACAGCTTGAAAGAGAAAAGACTTACTGAAGCTAAGGAGATTATCAGCCACTTAACTATTGAGATATTATCTAAAACACCTAAACCTAGGTACTTACTACTTAAGCTACTAATAACTTCTCATAATAAGGAAAGGGATTATCACTTCTGGCCTTGGATATTTCCTTCTATATTTTGACAGAGTTGTATATTTCAGATTGTATAGTAATTACAATAATAAAAACATAATTTAGAGCACCCTTTTCTTCTTGATCCAAGCCATACATGCTTTTGTCCAGCCTGGCTATTTCAAACCTCAGTTATTCTCCACTTAGCAGACACTACTCAATGCTATTACTTGCCAGGGACTGTTCGAAGATCTTTACACATATTTACTCATGTAATCCTCAAAACAGTCCTGTGTATTGTCATCACTCCTTACACATGAATGACAACATTAAGGCTCAGAAAAATAAAGGATATTTCCTAGGGTCATGCAGCTAGCACACAGCAGAGCTGAGATCACTGAGAATCACTGTGCTCTGTGTCCTAAGTCTAAATTCTTCAGGTAAGATCATTCTCACCACATCTACAGAAGGTGCCAAAAAAAATGTGTACAGATTTTAAGAAAGGAAACTGTATTAAAATTGTAATACTCAATATATACCAATAGCAAAAGATGAACACAAGTCACATTTAACTTCTGCAATTACAAGAGGTGCTCAGAGTGGTTACCATTCGTGCCCAGACACTTCTGGTTATGGTGAACTACTGCTTGAGCAACGTGGACCAAAGTGTCCACTTGTATACTTTTTTTTTTGGCACCCCTGGTATATTTTACTAAATTAATAATACTATGTTGACTGCTGTATTAAATTATTTCTAGGCTTCTTAGAAGAATAATTTACAGTGCTGATTTAAAGAAATGTAATTCTACTGGGCAGGCAGAATACCAGTCAAACCAAGTTCAATGATCTAATATGAATGAACAAGTGCAATATTGTATACAACAGATGAATGAATATTAATAGCCAGCAGGCATTGTGCATTTATAATTCACACCAGGTACTGTTATATATACC